GGACAAATACAATATTTAGTCGTTTAGGAAGGATATATACAAAATTCTCCTTTATTTTTCAAGCCAAGTGAATGAATTATAATGAACCATTAAGTTCTTCATTTTATTATATTCCATTATACCAAATATCAAATATGTACACCTAATGTTAACTCAAACAAATGTTCAACAAAAATCGTAATTATCAAGCAATTTATTTTATATTTTAAAAACTTTATTGTATTTGTACGATAAAATTGTAAAAATGGTCCCTATGGTATGCAAAATTTTGGGGTTTTAGTCCAAACCCCGAGTTTTTGGATTCATGGTCCTTTTGGAGTGGTTTGTATGTAAAAATAGTCCCTCTGAAAATTGAAATGACAATAATACCATTGGGGTATTTATTTTTCATTTTTCTTTCATTTTTTTTTTAAATTTAATATTTATTTATTTATTTTAACAATTAAAAAAAATAATAGAGGGCCCACCTCTCTCTCTCTCTCTCTATCTCTCTCTCTCTCTCCCTTGTTTCACCGGATGGGCAACGAAGAAAAGAAAGCGTTGCTGCCCTTTAGATTGTACCCACCGGCTGTCCTCCGCCTCTTCTCCGACATTTTACCGTCGAGCACAACCCCAAACGCACCCACCAGTTAATCTCTCTTCCTCTACTCTGTACCTCTCTTTTCTCTCTCGTTGTACATCTCCGGCGACGAAAGGATTCGGCGAACCAAGGTTGTCTCCCCTGTTTCAGATTCTCTCTTTCCTCCCTCATTCTTCCCTGTCGATCAACAACTCAAAACATCCCCTCGTTTGTAGTGGTCCTCGATTTTGGCTTCGATGAAGTGAGAGGAAGAAGAACCGTTAAACTAGCTAGCTGTTACAACTCCCCAGCCATCCTCACTTGGTTCTCCGTCACCTCCAGCACCTCCTCTCTCCGCCTACTGTTGGTGATTTGAAGCCACAGCTCCGATGAGTGAGCTATCAGCCGAGAAGGAGCTCATCGGAAAAACTGGCTGCTCTTCCCTTTTCCACCATTATAGTCGCCTCCGCCTTTCCCCCCTTGTGACTGCTTAACTACTGCAGAACCACACTCCACCATCGGAGATTCCTGATCGCAGCCTTCCATTCGTGATTTCAGCTTCTCCAAACAGACGAAGACGGAGACCTGTTCCCTTAGCTCTCAACTGGAGATGATGCAAGTTAAAGCCTGAGAGGGTCGCCGGAGATCAACGACTCTGTCCCTCCTCGCGATTTGAATGACCACCATCGGAACTTCTCATCGCTTCCGATTAGTTTGTTCCTCCAAATCCCCAAACAGATGAAGAAGACGATGCGTGTCATTTCCTCTGCGAACCCCTTTTCACATGTGCGTTTTTTTATGTTTTGAGAGAGAGAGAGAGAGAGAGAGAGATGGGCCCTCTATTATTTTTTTAATTGTTAAAATAAATAAATAAATATTAAATTAAAAAAATGAAAAATAAATACCCAAAGGTATTATAGTTATTTGAGTAAATTACACGAATGGTCCCTATGGTTTAGGGTAATTTACACGTTTGGTCCCTAACTTATTTTTTTAACTCGGAAGGTCCCTACAGTTTGTTTTTGTTACATGTTTGGTCCCCGTCTTACCTAAAAACACTATTTTGCCATTGATTTTTTAATTTATTTAAATAATCACACCCCCAACCCCACCCCCTCACCTTACCTTACATACCCCATCATTTTTCCCTATTTAAATAATAGTCTTTTTAGTTAAGACAGGGACCAAACGCGTAACAAAAACAAACAGTAGGGACCAAACACGTAACAAAAACAAACAATATGGACCTTCCGAGTTAAAAAAATAAGTTAGGGACCAAACGTGCAAATTACCCTAAACCATAGGGATCATTCGTGTAACTTACTCTAGTTATTTCAATTTTCAGATGGACTATTTTTACATACAAACCACTCCAAAGGACCATGAATCCAAAAAACTCGGGGTTTGGACTAACACCAAAATTTTGCATACGACAGGGACCATTTTTGCAATTTTGTCTATTTATACATACTAACATCTTCAGATTAAATCATACATACTTATAAAGCTAGCATTTTTTCTTGAATCTCATGCATTTGAAACCCCATTGTTTAACTTCCTTTCACCACATTCATTTGAAACTCCCATGATTTTTCAATTTCTTTACAATAATATTATAAATAAGTTAAATAATGTTCTATAAACAAGAAAGGGTGTTTT